TGTGAGAGCAAGGAGTCAGTGACAACCAGACGAATCCTCGGTCGCATATGCTCCATTAACCATCTCACAGAAGTCAAACTCTGTCTTTTTTCTTCCCTCTCTATTTTCATTACAATCTCCTCCCATCTTTTCCAAGTAAATTCCTTTAGGCAATTTTGACCACATATAACTCTGTTTATATATTTTTGCATCTGCTACCATGGAGACAGTTCTTTCACTGAAGCTCACGACAGTGTTCCCCTCTCAACTTGAGGTCACAACTAGGTCATTTGATAAGTCTAAGCCATTGGTACATTCTTGATATAAAGCCTAATGATTTTTCAATATTTACAAATCATTTTTGAATCTCCAACCATAAAACACATCATTTTAGAAAGTTATTTTATTGGGCTATCTTTGTTACTTTGACCTCAAGATTTTGTTACAAAAATTGGTTATTTTTTCGAAATTTGTAATAGTATGAAAAAGTTTAAATAGAAAGAGAAGTATATATTCAATAGAGTTAATAACACAACTCTAAAACTGACCTAACAGAGTTTCTTGGGGGTAGTTTATACACACACACACACACATATTTTTTAATATATATATATATATATATAATTTTTAATATAAATTTATATATATTTATGTGTATAAATATATATAAATTTATATATAAATTTTTAACATTTCTTTTTTATTCTTTCTTAGAATTCATATCACTCTACTTACATTATTCAACTGTTCGTAAATTTTATCTACTCTTTTTTCATTAGGCCCCATAGCATATTAATTACAGTTGTTCTAAAGTTGTGGTCTGATAATTCCCACATCCCCATCATATCTGAATCTGGTTTGTTCCCTCTCTTCAAACTATGGATTTGCCTTTTAGTATATCTTGCAATTTTTTTGTGGAAAGCCAAATATAGTGTATGAGTAAGAGAAATTCTGGTGAAAGCTTTTAGTGATGAGGTGACAGAGTCTGGGGGGAGGAGAGGCATTCTGTGGTTCTCTGGTTAGATTTCAGTTTGGGTCAGCCTGTGCTCTTGGGCAGTGGGCTTCCTGAGTGCTTCTCTGCATGCTGCCCCCTCTTAAGTGGGACAAGATGGATAGAGGAGCCTGGAGTTAGATATTTCCTTTCCCCCAAGTTATTTAGGTTATGGAACTCCAAAAGGTTGGGCTCTGGCAAAATAGTTTCTCTTAAAGACAGTGCTTATTTAAGACAAGTATGTACCAGAATTATTACTTTTCTCTTCTTCCTACTAGAAGCACAAAGAAATTTTCTCCAATCATTTACTGTAAGAACCTAGCGGAAACCCCGGAGGTAAAAGGCACAAGTGTCCTGCCTGCCCTGGGCTTCTCTGGACTCTGGCTTGGACAGGCCCACACCTAACCTCTAGCAACTGAAGAATTACAGATTAGATTTTCCTATCCTGGTACTGATTTCCCCAGAGGTTTCTGCTTATGGATTTCTGCTCTAGTGGATTCCTGCACCTGTCTCTCCCTCCGATTTGGGGATCAGTGGTTTGCCCTGTCATCTCACTTTCCATTGATCTAAGAAGAGTTGCTGATTTTCATTTGTTTATCAGTCTTTCTCTTGATATTACAATGAAGTGTTAACTTTAAGCTCCCCCCAAAAGTTAACAGGACACTAGATTTTTTCTACAGTTGAGACTGATGTGGAAGAAGTAGATGTTCTTACCTGAAGTTAATGTCATCATATGCAAGAGAATCAAGCACATACAGTATCCAGAAAGGTAGGAGGATGTAGGCTCCATCATATCTGGAAAAAAAAGACTGGAATAAAGTCACAAATTGTGAGATACAATGTAGAGATTGCATGAATACAAAAGATTTAATCAAGATTATAAACAGGGATGACCTCAGACTCTTTCCTCTTACAAATCGACCTTTCTCAGTGTTCAGTAAAATAACCATGTTCCCTCACACTGTTCTGATCAAGAGAGGGAATGAATATGGGAATCACAAAGGCACAGGAGCCAAAACGTGCATGATAACGTAAGAAGAGTGTTTAGGGATTCATGAGCTTGAACAGCTGAAACCAAGTTTGGTTGAACTAAAACACCTTGTTAAAAGTTCTATATGTTACTTCTAACAAATGAAACGTGGCTAAAAGGTTTTAACTAGTAAAATTTAATGGTCAAACTTGCACTTTAAAAATACGGAAGTGGTTTTCTGATTGAGTGGCTGAGTGTTAGAACAAGCAGCACTTGCATCATTACATAAGAAACAAACTGGACAAACTGCAAATTGATGACTTTTCTCAACTCATAAGAGAAGTAATGTTAAGGGCAAATGCTTAATGTGAAGTTGGGAAAGAAAAGTGACTGCAAGATAAAACACAACTTAAGATTTGCTAACTTTGGAAAGAGTCTGAAGGATGTCACATAAACCCACAATAAGATTTACCTAGAACCTTTAAACAAATTGCTAGAGTTTGAATATATGCTAATGTATGAGTATTAGAAACTTTGGGGAGAGCAAATATAAGTGTTCTTTTGCAGTTCCTTACTTCAGGAACTCAGCTACGAAAATTCTGACCAACTTTCTCCTGTTACTGATTGGAGGAAAACAACAGGAACCACTATTTAAAATCCACACTATATATTCAGCTTCCCTACAAAATGGAAAGCTTACTATGGCAGGGAAGATCAGCAAAAATGTAGCCTCTGGGCACTTGTGTAAAACCACTGAAACTGGTGTACAGAACAGGGATAAAACCTTCTAGTTTTGAATGATGTTTTAAAACATTTAATTTGTTATAACAAAATGCCTGATGTTGGGCTATTTGTAAAAAAAAAAAAAAAGTAGAACTGTTTATCTAACAGGTCTGTAGGTCCAAGAACATGGCACCAGCATCTTTTCAGCTCCATGGAGAAACTTATGGTCGAAAGCATCACATGGTGGGAATCTGTGCAAAAGACAGATGTTTCCCCAAGAAGGAAACTAGTTAAATGAAAGAAGGACACATTCTCAAATTTAAAAAGAAGAGAGGTTTTCTTTTCCTTACCAGTTTATTAATATGTAAGAAATATTTAATGTTTGAACAGAATAACCTATAGAGATGAGGAAAGTACATCTACACCAAAAAAAAAAAAAAAAAAAAAAAAAAGGAAAAAGAAAAAGAAAATGAAGAGCATCTTTAGCAGAATAAATTAAGATAAAATCTGGATTGCTTCTTGTTTTAACTGCTCCAAAATATAACTAATTGGCTAATGCAAAGATAGTAAAAATACAGATATAGCTTATGTGAAAGCAATCTAATTGAGGATTAAAGGCACAAGGGATAGTGAAAAATTAGGAATATATTATTACCAGTTTCATAACTAGATACAAAATATTAAAGTACTATGTGAAGATGGATTCAGATAATTCAAAATGTGTATTCTAAACTGTAGGACAAAAACCACTGAAATACTTTTTTGGGGGGAGGGGCTCAGGAGATTGAATTTAGGGGCATCAACCACTGAGCCACATCCCCAGCTCAATTTTTATTTTTTTATATTTAGAGACAGGGTCTCACTGAGTTGCACAGCACCTTGCTTTGCTAAGGCTGGCTTTGAAATCTCAATCCTCCTGTTTTAAAAGGTAAAAACTAAATCAGTAAAGAAAATAAAGTGAAATACTAAAATTTCTCAATTAAATCCCATAAAGGGTGAAATGCAAACTAAAGAAACAAATAAAAAATGCACAAATATAAACAGGGATCAGGGTGGGTTTCAATCCAACTCTGTCAACAAACATTTAAAATTGAAATGGTCTAAAAAGACAAGTTAAAAGTACAGGTTATCAAATTGAATAAAGCAAGACCAATTTGATGCTAGCTACCAGAAAACTAATTAAATATAAAGGCAAAGAGGGATTAAAATAAAAAAACTGAGGAACATATGCCATGAAAACTCTAAAGAAAAAGAAAACTGGAGTCCTTATATTAGTTCCAGATGAAATCGTTTTGGGATCAGGAAAGATGATTAGAGACAGGCACATCACATAATGATAATGGGGCTAGTAGTCCAAGAACAATCATAAATGCATATGTGCAAGACAGAGAGCTTCAACAATATATAAAGTAAGTAATGATAGATCCAAAAGGGGAATTAGTTATATTGACAATCAGTACTGATGACTTTAACACTCTATTTTGGTAACCGATAGAACAAATAGGCAGAATATCAATACGGAAGCAGGTGATGTATATCAATTAAATTAACCAAATTGAAAGATGTGGAATACACTCCAACCCGTATAATGTATTCCACATTCTTCACAAGCATATATAAAATGTAAACCAAGGTGGATTAATTCTAAACTATAAAACAAAACAATCCACCCTCAGAGTTATACAAAAGTACATACAAGAGGAAGTGAGGGGAAAGGGAAAAATAATACAAGGGGGACAAATGAATGTCAGTAGAGGGGGCAGAGAGAGAAGAGGTGAGGGGAGGGGAGGGGAGGGGGGATAGTAGAGGATAGGAAAGGCAGCAGAACACAACAGACACTAGTATGGCAATATGTAAATCAATGGATGTGTAACTGATGTGATTCTGCAATCTGTATATGGGGTAAAAATGGGAGTTCATAACCCACTTGAATCAAAGTGTGAAATATGATATATCAAGAATTATGTAATGTTTTGAACAGCCAACAATAAAAAATTAAAAAAAAAA